AGATAAATATTTATTCAAATATTCAAGTAGTTTGGACAGCTTGATAACACTTAAGCAACTTCCTGTTTGTTAGGTTAGGCAAGGTTCAGACAGTGATTGTTCCACCTCTGTTATTCTTGACCTGTAATGCTGGTTGTCATATTTCACTTTAAAAAACCAGTAGACTGTAAGGGGTTTGTGTGTGTGTTTCCCCCCCCTCACCTAATGCTGGTATGTTTTCTAAGGCTCAGCGCAAGTTGACAGTCTGAGGCCAGGTCTACCCATATAGTCGATTGGGGTGAGTAGACCTGTTCTCTGGAGGACAGGTCTACCAATATAGTGGGAAAAAGTGGGTGAAATTTGACCTCATTCTGTTTTCTTTTATAACGTTTAAATTATTCTTAAAATATACTTTCAGTATAATTTAAAATAATTTATTCTGAGATTATTTACAAGGTTATGGAAGTAATCTTCTAAAAGACTAATTTACGTGATAGTCAAATGTAGACTTGCTCACAATGTTAATGCTACTAGCTTTTTTCACTCGCAGGGTAGAATTTCTGCTCACAACACTGTGGAGCTTAGAGGGAACATTTCATCTAGAAATGAAGGTCCTTAAGCCAGTCTGGAAAGCTTTCAAAGAAGGGGGCCTCTCTCAACTCCTGTGAGAAGGAGCTGGGTGCTTTGAAGACCCTCTTCTAGGGTCCCAGCCAGCTGAATGTCAGTCAGAGCAGGCTCCCTGAGGAAAATCTTCAGGTCTTGGGCTTGCTGATATGGAGGAGAAGCAGTTATTTTCCTTCCATGCTTGGTTCTTGGGCTCCAACCAAGAAAGCCAAGTTTGCTCACTGACACAATTATATAATGGTACATCCTTTCACACTACTTTTTGCTTCCCTCTTGCAATAGTTGAAATGCCATCAGGATTCTGCCAATGAGCTATCACAACTCATTAGCATAACTTATTTGCATATGCCACACCCCCTGACATCTCCCTACCCTTTGCCTCCAATCGGGGTGAAGGAAAAGAGGGGGGGAAGGATCTCCGGTGCTTCTGCTTGACAGAGGGGCCAGCGTAGCGGCCCCTCTGACAGGCATAAGCACCTGGGCTCCATTTCTTTCCCCCTCTCCCTTCCCTTCACCTCCAAATGGAGTGAAGGAAAAGGGGGGGGGGAAGGATCTCAGGCACTTCTGCATGACAGAAGCGGGCCAGGGAAGGTGGCCGGTGGGCCAGGGAAGGTGGGGGGGCTCTTTCCAGGCCTTCCTCGACTCACCCGCTTTGCGGGCGAGCCGGGGAGGCATTTAAATGCCTCCCTGCTCCTTGCAGGGCCTTCCGTGGCTTGCCTGCCTTGGCAGGTGGGCCACGGAAGGCTGGAGGGGCTCTCTCCAGGCCTTCCCCAGCTCATCCGCTTCAGCAGGCAGTCCAGGGAAGGCAGAGGGAGTCATTTAAATGCCTCCCCGTTCCTTGCAGGGCCTTCCCCTGCTTGCCTGCCTCAATTGGCAGGCCAAGGAAGGCTGGGGAGGGGCTCTCTCCAGGCCTTCCCCAGCTCACCCACTTCCCTGGCTCACCCACTGGGGGGGCTCTCTCCAGGTTCCCACCCACCCCACCTGAAACAAGCCCCCGCCCCTGCATCCCCACCAACTTACCCTGCCTTCTGGCTGGTGATGGCGGTAGTGGCAAGCAGAGGCAGCATGTGCTGCTTCCCGCTCCTCCTGGCCCGACTGTGGGCTGCTGAGGGCGGGGCTTGCCACCACATGTGCCTGGTCCTGGGCTTGTTACTGCCAGAATGCCATCCCAGCTCGTTCCGGCTGGAAATGACTCCTGGAGGTAGGATCTTCCATTTAAAATCTTTAATATTTTTAACTTCACAAATAATAGTAGTGTCTTAATGATGGGGGGTGGGAATAAGCCTTTTCTTGACAGAAGATGTTTTTTTGGTTCTACAAGTTATCGAATTTCTATAAAGAAGCATTAATGTTAAAGAAATTATGGACTGCATGTAGAATCTGCCTGACTGCCAGCTGAGTGCTGGATCTGGTTCAAGGTTATGGTATTGACCTTTAAAGCCCTATGCAGCCTGGCACCAGCATACCTACAGGACTGTCTCTCCCTGTATGTGCCCCAAAGAGCCTTGCACTCTGCTGATCAACATCTACTGGTAGTCCCTGGCCTGAAAGACATCCACTTACCCTTAACCAGGACCAGGGCTTTCTCCGCCCTGGCCCTGGCCTGGTAGAACAAGTTCCCATGTGAGATCAGGGCCCTGTGGGACCGGTTACAGTTCCACAATGCCTGTAAAACAGAGCTGTTCCACCAGGCCTTTGAGTGAGGTGGCGGACATTCAATCTATCTCGGCTCCAATGTTCCCTCTAAGCTGTGGAGTCTTATGAGCAAAAATTCTACTTTGTGAGCCACTGGCTTAAAGTTGTGAGCGTGCAATTTGGCTACTGCAGAAATTAGTTTGCTCTGGGGCCATCCTTCCCGAGCAAAGACAAAAATATGTGAGCCAGAGGCTAAACAACTGTGAGCTAGCTCACACTAACCCAGCTTAGAGGGAACACTGCTCGGCTCCCCTGCTCACGGAAATACATTACCCGATTAATCATCTTGCAAGAAGCATTATGGACTGCCCTGGAGTTTCTTGCTGTGTTGACATCTTGCTTTTGATTGTTTGATTGCTTTTAACTTGATTCTAGTATATGTTTTTGCTATTTATTCTAACTGCTGTAAGCCATCCTGAGCCCATTTTTGGCATAGGGCGGGATATAAGCTTAACAAACAAACAAACAAACAAACAAACAAAAAATAAATATTCCATAAGAAACTCACATGCTGTCACATTGCAGCATAATCTACAAGTCTGCTGAAAATGACTATACAGAAGTGACTTGGAAAGATATGAAGTGGCCCTTATTAAAACTTTGGTGAAACGAGTATTCTGTCTTTACAGTAATGCTAGAAATTAATAGTATGGGCCCACTGGCTTGCCTGATTGTATTGGAGGCTGTAAGGTTTCTGAAGCTAAACCGGAGTGCATCTGACCAAGTGTACCTGACCACTAGAAGCCCCATGGAACAGAGGAATCCAGGTTTTTTTTAAACAGATGTGTCAATGGTGTACTGCCCAGAAACTCATAATATTACAGCATCTTTTTTATGTTCTCAAAATCTTTAGTGCTCTTTTCTGACATTTCCTAAAATACATCAAAGGAGAGCGGGGTATAAATCAAATAAATAAATAAATATTTAAAGCAAAAGAAACCTTTGACACATTGTGTATACACATGCTACTTAACATTTCCATTTTGCCTGTTTAAATAATAAAAATTAAAATCTCAGAAACCCTACCTTGCGTTTCCGTTTAGATTTTGGGATGACTTTTTCCGCTGGAATGTCAGCCACAGTGCTCCGCTGCATACTGATGGCTTCTTTAATTCCAGTGTTTATCACCAGCGGCTCCTCGGGTAAGAGTTGTGGGATTCTGGACAAAAGAGTCAAATCGATTTTGACCCAAAGTGCTTTTATTTCCTCCGTGTCCTTCAGAGGAGACAGGAGCTCATTCCTACCAAAAGGGACTAATGTGTAAAACTGCTCTTCCAGCTCCTTTGCTATATCGTTATGTGTCCTGGTATTAACTGAACCAACACTGCCACAGCTGCCATTTGCTTTGTTGGCGATATTATTCCCAGAGTCCTTTGATTTCTGGTCACTTCCAACTGAAGCTGAGGCCACAGCTTGAGGTTTGTGTAAAAGATATTCCTCTTGTTCAGACTGAGAATCTGAATCTGAGGAAGCTGAAGAGTCCGTCTCAATAAATTCCTTGGATTTGGGTGCTGTTTTACCAGATCCCCTGGTACGTTTCTTTTCACAGGCAGCGACACACCTCAATTCCTTTCTGTGCTCAACTCTGCTGTTGCAGGGCCTGCTTTTAGGTTCTTCACAAATGGCGTTGTCCAAAAATACTTGACTCAAATCAAGATCATCAGCTATATGGTTGTTTAAGTTATCACCACCAGAGGTCCTCTCTGTCCTTTTTGGCTGTTTTTTACAACTTGTCCTCTTCTGAGGACCACCATCAACTGAAATGGCAGCAGCAGCAGCAGCAGCAGGTGGTGATTTTTGTTTTCCTCCCTTATGTCCTGGAGCCTTATTAGCTGTTCTAGGCCTCAACTCCTCTTTGTTGGGATTCTTGACTTCTTTATCTCGGATATCTGTTTGACAAATGGCAGGTACATTTTCACAGTCCTGCCCGTCATCTTTTACTTTGTTGTAATACTGAAAGTTCTCCAGTCCGTGGTTATCATTTTGATTCAAAAGGGGTGCTTTGTGAGGATTAACCTTATTTAGCCATTTATCCAACTGCCACTTGTTTGATGATGGCTGTTCAGGCTAGAAAACAAGATTTTATAAAGTACTAGCTTACAGAGGTTTTATAGGGCTGCTGTTCTCTTTAAGGATTGTAGGCACTTTTCAAGGATTTAAAAAAAATGTATGCCTGCTCAATCAACATACAATGATAGAAAAAAAAATTCTCCAAAGAACAGCCAGAGTGTTGTGGTCAGACCAGCACACAGAACTATGTGGAACTCAAAATATGTTATTAAGAAAAGGAACAGAGTATACACAAAGAGGCACCCCACAAAAGAGTTCCTGTGATCAGAACAGTAATTCATATCAGCTCTTTTTGTAGAAAAAGCCCAGCAGGAACTCATTAGCATAATAGGCAACACCCAACAGCAGAAACTCATTAGCATATTAGGCCACACCCCTGACAGCACAGCTCATTAGCACATTAGGCCGCACCCCCATGTTACCAGAAGTGTGGTTATCCAGCCATACCCACCTTTTGCTTGTTATTCTGTTTACCTTGTTTGTTGCCAAAACCCAGGGCTTTTTTGTAGCAGGAACTCCTTTGCATGTTAGGCCACACACCCCTAATGTAGCCAATCCTAATGAGTTTCTGCTGTTGGGTGTGGCCTATTATGCTAATGAGTTCCTGCTGGGTGTGGCCAACGTGGGAGCCAGCCGGAACTCCGTTCCTGTGCGTTCCTGCCCCAAAATAGCCCTGCATATCACAAGGGTTTCTGTTCTGAGGGTCATTTATTGCTAGATAAATCTGGATATTTTATAAGGATACACCATATCAACATTCTGTACTACGGAAATGGCACTGTCATCACAAGGTCACCTAATTTTTTTTCTTTCATAAAGAGCTCAATGACATCACTTCCCAGTATTATTTCCATAGCTTGATGCAACATCTCTGACAGGTACAAGATGCTCTACAGCGGGCACACAAAAATGTACAAGAGGTCGACTGGCAGCCCAGAAGCGATTAATGCATTACTGAATTGGTATGCAGTATGTAACATATATACATCCTCTGCAGCAGTGAAAGAG